CTAGATTGATGTTACCGAAGATCGAAGCTCGTGGTACGATGCTGATGACGAGAAATATGAAAGGTATTTGATGAAGCTTAACCCGAACGACACGAAGAATCAGGACCATTATAAAGTATTGGGATTGTCAAAACTCCGTTTCAAGGCGACATTAGCGGAGATTAGATCGTGTTGTAAGTTACTTGTATAGTAACTCATGCTTTAGCTCAGTGTTACCTGGTTTCAGATCGCGCTAAGGTCCTGAAATATCATCCCGACAAGAAAAAACATAGAGGCGAAGCTCTCCCAGCAGGAGAGGATTACTTCACCTGCATTACAAAGGTGCGCTTAAGTGGGCTTATCGAATCTATTTTCCGTGTTCCTTGTGCCATCTGTTAACCCAATTTTATGAGTGACATGAGTCGGGAGATTTTCTTAACTCAATTCTCATTCTTAGGCTTACGAACAGCTTGGCATGTCGGAAGCAAAGAGGCAAGCCTACGATTCCGTTGACCACAAGTTCAACGATGCCATACCTAGTGAGAAGTCGGTGAACAAGGATAACTTCTTTAATGAATTGGCTCCTGTTTTCGAACGGAATTCAAGGTTAGCATTTCTTAAAGTACTAGTATTACTGGATCACCCCTTGTTTTTTGTTTTCATCTGCGTTTTTTTGTAGATTGCTTCGAATTAATTTTCGAATCCAATTTCTTCAGGTGGTCCACCCGACAACCCGTGCCATCATTGGGAAAGGAAGATTCAGCAAGAGCGGATGTAGAAGCATTTTATAACTTTTGGTTCGATTTTTCATCGTGGAGGGAGTTTTCATATCTGGATGAAGAGGACAAAGAAAGAGGCGAAGATCGATATGAAAGAAGGGAGCTTGAGAAAATAAATAAGGTATGTATGCACGACACATTGGTTTCTTTTTCTGTGTTATTATTCTGAATGTTTTTGAAGAGTTTTTATTTTTAAAATTTTCATGTTCTGATTCAAATACAGTAGTAGTTGTATTCTGTTCACTACAGGCGGAACGAGAACGGAGGAGGAAAGAAGAGGCGAAGCGAATACGACGCCTCGTTGAATTGGCCTACGCTAAAGATCCTCGAATCGCAAAGTTCAAGAGGGAAGATCAAGAGGTTTGTAGTGAGCTCGTTTGTTTTTCTCATGCTTTGTAATAGAGGCATACATTCCCATTCATTTAGTTTTGGATTACCGTTGAATATCTCTTTTTGTATATGTGCGCCTTCAGATGAAGAATAAAGCGAAGGAGGAGAAGCAGAGGAAGCAAAGGGAGAAGGCTGAAGCTGCTGAGCGAGAGAGGCGTGAGAAGGAGGAAGCAGAAATGAGGGCAAAAGAAGAGCAGGAAAGACTGATGAAAGAAGAACGAGTAAGTGTTGTTTGGCTTCAGAGTGTAACTGACTTTTAAGCTTTTTTTTCGAACACATTTGCTTTTAAGGAACGAGAGAAGAAAGAGAAGGAAGCGATTAAAAAGGCTGCTGCTGCGCAGCGACGACGATTCAAGAAGCTTGCTGAAGCAGCAAATCATTGGTCGGAGAATGCGGCAGAGAAGTTAGCAGAGATGGAGCGCGTCGAGCGGGTCGAAATAACTTTGAAGGGCTATTTTATGTTTAGAATATATTTATAAATATTTTTTTTCAGTTGTGTCTTTCGCTATCAGCTGATGAAATGGCATCGCTTTGTGATGCCATTGAAAAGGTCACTGTGCGAGACGATATTTTGGCAGCTATCTCACAAGCAGAGGTATGCCTAGTTTTTCTTGGCAACTAGTTGATAGGTAAGTGTCTATTAGTATCGCACCACTGCCAGAGCAAACTAGCTTTTTTTCCTCGGAAGCTGACGTCCTTGTTTTTTTTTTCTGTTCGTTAACTTTAAAGCTTGTGCGTACGCGCTCTTGAGTGTATTACTTATCTTTTATTATTGAGTGGAAGACCGACCCATCCATCCTTGACCTTATCACTTGAAAGTGAGGACCTGTGTTGTTTCGGGTTGCAAAGCATTTTGCTTATACACTTTAAGCTACCATTGTTATTGAAGGTTCAAAAATGTCTTTATTGCAGGCGTCGAAGCGGAACGGCACCACAAAAGTTGATTCGAAAGGTAGTGATAAAACTAAAGAGGCGGAAAAGTCAGCAGCTGTTTGGACCAGTGATGAAATTCAATTACTAGTTAAGGTTTGTTGTATTACGATTCATGAATGTTCTCTATTTCCTACATCACAGTTTTTTCATATTGTAGGCATCCAATACATATCCAGCGGGAACAGTTAATAGATGGGTTATTATAGCTGAATATATTAATGAACACCGCAAAGACAAATCGACGCCGCCTAAAAATGAGAAACAAGTTATCAGACAGGTGCCATAATTATTTCCATGTAGTCATGCTGTCTTTATGTTATACTTGCAGTAGCTTTATAGTTGTTATATTGGTAGTCGTTTTTTTTATTTTTTGAAGCAGCTTTGTAATGTTTCAGTGTAAAGCGGTGCAATCAATGAATGTCAAACTACCGGCTACTACTCAAAACCAGCTGGGTGCCTCACTCCCTGACGAGGACACATGGACAGTCACTGAACAGAAACTTTTGGAGCAAGCCATAAAGACATTCCCTGCATCAGATCCAGAACGGTGGGATAAGGTATGTTTCTAGTCTGGTTTTTGCTACCAGGCATTTGTTTACAACCATTATCTATTTATTCAAGTATGCAGCAATGATTCCCATATATTCACTATTTTGTTCCTTGTCTTCAAATGAGAGCTCGGTACTCTAATCGGGAATTGAGAGCGTGGTAGGAACTGAATGATGCATAGGTTTCTCTCTTCGGTTTGCGATTTAACTTATGCGAAATGCGTTTTTTGCGTTGGTCTAAATTGCGTTTTCGCTTTGGTTTTACGTTAGTCAAACTAAGGATATGTAGAATTGGTCTTTTCAATTCGTTCATTTCAAAGGCAAAGCTTGAAACATGGAATCAGGTCCTGAACTATAATTTCAGGCTTTCAATTTATATGATATTTTTCTCAGTATCCGATGCCAAACAAGAGGCAGTGCTCCTGCTTCACCAATACAGTACCCTTATTAATATGGAGATAAGTTATCACCCTGAATATTTGTACTGATCATTCTGGAGTAGTAATTCGAACAAAAACAAATCTTTTTGTATTTCTTAAGAGACAAATGAATTATAATGAATCCTTTGAACCACATGCCATCAGTAGCTCAACCTTAGACCGGTCCATTATTGCCAATATTTCAGTCGAAGTTGCTGAACATTTTCATAATGGTCATGATTATGGTACGGTTTCAGATTTCTACTGCCGTTGCAACGAAATCAAAAAAGGCATGCATTCGACGTTTCAAATATCTCGTACAAATGGTGAAAAACAAGAAAGAAGAAGGTTCATCCTAAAAGTAGTCGGGTTTGTTTTTGCTAATCTAACGGAAGTCTAGCACTTGTCATATATTACTCTCTTGAATCCCTGTTACTGTTTACAAGTCCTCGCTGATGCTGGTCATCTACCTACTCTAATTGCTCTTAGAATATGCTGATCGTAGGTCGACCGTTGCCGCACTTTTCGGCATTTCCCGGCTCTTACTGCTTTAGAAATAGGTACTGTTTGAAATGAACTTGTTATGGTGAAATATAACCCAGTTATTTGGTTCACTACCTCAGTGATTATGCACGATTCAAAATGTAGATGACTGTTGTTGAGGCATAGTCTCATGTTGTTGATCATTCACTGTTCTAACTGTTATTTTTCGAATAAATGATGAAAACGAAAGATTCTCAAAAGTACAAGGGAGGTTAATGAGCGTCCATTGCCGTCATCGTTGCTGGCGTTCCCGATATCACGCCGCTCAAGAAACAGGTTGTTCAGTGTCGTCCACGTATCGATCATAGTCTCATCTTCATTGCGCACATCGAGTTATTTAATTCGAAATCACACTAGCCTTACTAATAATGTTCATCTAGTAAATTCTTGTTGGGCAAACAATTAGAAATCCTCTCTCTCTGTGACTGCCGGGTGCGATTTTGCATAGTAGCTCTTGATATCGAACTAAACCTTGACAATGGGAGGGAGGTTTCACTAGTCTCAGAACTTATTTTCCTTAGTATTAACTACAGGGTGACCCACATGAAGTGTGACGGGCAATAAAAAAATCAACTTGTGGGCTTCTGGGCTGGAGGAAGCGGTGATCGCTTGGGTGGAAAGGAACGCGATGAGCGTCAGCTGAACCTTCCACAGGGTTGGGCACCAGCCCACAGCACAAAGGAGATGCTGCAATGTTGTGAAACCACGCTTCCGGTTTTTTGGGGAGAAGCAGTTTTGACCTTCAAATCCCGTGATCTCAATCCTTTGGATTTTGGTGTGTAGTCGATTCTGGAGCAAAAAGCCTGCGCTTTTAAACACATGTCTTAGGAACCTCTGAAATAAAGTGCTCTTGTAGAAGCGTGGGATGAAAGTGATTGCGCGCATTCTTGAAAACTTCCGAAAGAGGTTGGAAGCTTGCATTAAAGCGAAAGATGGTCATTTTGCATGCGAGATGTGATATGTTGTTTACAATTTTGTGATGATTGTGTAGGAGTATTAATTTCCTATTTGGTTTGATCTGTATAATTTTGATGATAGTTTTCTGCGTCACATTTCATGTGGGTCACCCTGTATTAGTATTAACTGCCTAAAAAGACACAACCCTATGAAGCTCCCGATGCATACCTTCAATCTTAAACGAAAAATTACCCCCTTGGCTATTTTTCTTCGGTTTCTCTTTCTTCTACTATTTGCATAATAAAATTCCTCCTGCCAGTGTTTATTGCTTGCTTTGGCTGCTTGTTTTTTACTTCCCAGACACTTACCACCTGCTTGATCCCTACAATGCATGATATGCCAATGAATTCGAATTACGAGAAGCTAATAATTGGCTGATAGTTGATAATTTGTATAAGCATTAGCCACTTTGCGAAAAAGGGTTGTGCCATGCCAAAAGAGGGAAGTAATTTACCCATTGAACCTCTCCGAAGTGTTTATTATATTGAGTGCTGGGTCTTCTTTCAAAAAAAGTTCTTTCACTTTATCTAAAAATCTAAAGACCGGCATAAGGAAGTGGATGAGTTAACAGATCTGACCAGGAGGCGCGGGAAACTCAAATTGTGCATCGTCGATTAATTTACGCAAACTATGAACGCGGCCATCGCATGTCATACGGTACAAGAAACGGCTTAGAAGAAGTCAGCTAAGAAAAAACAGCGTTGAATGACTACAAGTAGGCTCGAGTACTTTACAGAATCACTCAACTCGCCCATCCCTGTCAGGGAGTAAGTTAGCGGGATAGGAGAGAGCGAGTGAAAGGGAGTGGAGAAGTATGAGGAAGTGAAAGGGAGGGAGAAAAGGTAAAAGTAGGAAGCTAGAACGAATCAACCACATGACTAAGGGTAATAGAAGTAGATTGGAAAGCAATTCCCATCTGGGAAATGCTCCAAACGATCTCACTGGCAACAAAATGACTTGAATCGTGGTGCTTAGAAATGTTATGGTAAGAAACACATTCAGATTATTGCTTAACTTCACTACAGTATGTCAGTACGAGTTCGGTTTTCGGCGGCTCGCCCAGGTGTGGCTTACGTGGGAGAGCGAACCTGTGAGGGAAGCGGTATGGCAGCTGAAATTCTGTCAAAACCCATGCCACCACTACATAAAGAAGAGAATTTTCGGATGGATGCTCACACAGCTGCAAGTATTGGAGACGTCAATGTCATAGAGGTAGGAATATCAATGTAGACCATTTGAGAACAACTTACAGCTTGCATTATTGAATTCTGACTTTATAGGCGTTGCTTGCCAGTAAAAAGCTGGATCCAAACGAGAAAAACCTCTCTGAATGGACTCCTCTGCTCTACGCTGCCTATCTTGGACACCATAACGTCTGCACCGTACTCATCGAGGCTGGAGCAAGGGTATATGTTCTTATGGATAGTTCTGATGAAAGAGCACTACTACCCGTCATGAAGTTTTACTTAAACCACTGTGTTTAGACCGACGATTGCAATCACAAAGGTCAGACACCTCTTATGATGGCTTCTTCCTGCGGAAATCTACAGGTAATCCATCTCTTATGTACGACAGTCAATCGCACAGTAAACTAGGACTTGTAGAGGTGGGAAGGAAGCAGTGTCACATAACTAAGTAGTAATTTTCGGTTGGTCCCACATCATAGGCTGACCAATGACCTAATGTGAAGAATATGCTCGATTTCAATGAAGTTCAAAAGTCTCTGACTTTGACCGAACCCATTCTTGGGATCACCTTTGCGCTTGATTTCCATTCAGAATCGTAGAGTTGTACTGCATGCAGATCTATCCTAAAATTAGGGGTCAGCCGATGTACAACTCAGTACTTTTATCCTCCAAGACGGGTCTGATACCGATTAACCAACTCGGGAGGGATGGAAGCTCAGTTGGCCAGGCGGATATCAAGCTGGGATTCGATTCCGGGACATGCGTCTGTAATTGTGTATCACTTATCACTTCACCACATCCGTTTTCAATCAATCGCTTTCTCGGGTAGTTTTCTGAGTAAAGTTTCAAGCTTCCTGCGGCTCACTGAAGAGGACAGACGACGTCAGAATCCGAGGTCAAGTAACAGGGATATCATTTATCCATAAAAGCTTTCCTGGTAAAAACGAGAATGCTTAATTTTAGTTCCTTATGAAGGGAGACCGAACGGACGAAAATTTCAGGTAGTTCGCCTATTGATCGAACAAGGTGCCAGCGTGAACCGGGCAGACAGTCGGGATCGTCAAGCTCTACACTATGCAGCTTCATGTAGTCAGAACGTGGTTTGTGCTTTGGCTTTCTACAGGCTTCCCTTCGGATATAGCTTTCATGATTAGCTGCTAGTAAATGCGGCAGTCAACTTCGGCAGAATAGGATAGGAATTCTTGTAATTTTAACTTCTAATGGACACTTTTATACGTTTATGTTTAGATTCTTACTCTTTTTCCACTCAGTTTCATTTTAATTATGGAGTTTACTGTTTTCTAGGTCAGGCACACCTCCGAACGTATGAAATAAATAAATAAATAAATGTGCCGTTTTCGATAAGTATTATATCTCAGGTTGCGGAGACATTGCTGCAAGCAGGTGCAGATCCAAATGCTGCAGATGTCGATGGTGTCACTCCTTTAATGGAAGCCTGTGCAAGCGGTCATGAACTCACAACACTTAGCCTTCTGGAATATGTACATTTTCACCAGACTTCTTTAGAAAATTCATAGAGTTTCAATGGTTTACATAATTTAGGGAGGCGACCCGTATTTGAAGAACAATCGTGGAGAAGATTGTCATGCTGTTGCCGGCGAAGAATCTAAGATCCAGCAACTACTCAACGAGCATATCCAACGACGAGCAGCTACTGCTTTTTCTTCAGGTACTTACTACGGTGTGCCACGAAAGCGAAGAGATAAGGCTGCATTCATACTCGGCAACTAGTGGCCCGTTGCCGTACGAGATACCTGTATAGTCCGAAGAGGCGAGAGGAAAAATGTTCGAAGCATGATCATCATGTTTATGCTTACCTGGTGTTTCGCTCCAAAACAGATTCCACTTTGTAACCGTCGACCGCTAAGTATGAACGCTTCCTAATGTAATAATTTTAGAGTCACCACGGACATCGAGAAAACCGAGGACATTGGAAGAACTGCTGCAAGACATGAACCTTGCTCGACTCGTCGACAAGTTCAAAGCTGAAAACATCGATCTGAACTTGTTCTTCGATCTTACTGATAAGGTTTGCTTTCGAGCTCTGTAATTTAAGGATTTTTCAGTTGAGATCAGTTTAGGATTTCGAAGAAATGGGTATAGCATATGGGCCAAAGAAGCGCATGCTGACTGTGATTGACCGATACCGTAAAAGTGGTCAGATCTCATGTGAACCTTTAGAAGTTGAAGTTGTGCCTCCACCTCCGTATACGGTAAGTTTGGGTTTTTTTTTCACAGATTACCAATAAAGCTCTGGTGTCGCAAAGAGGAAATAAGTCAATAATTCTGCAGGTGGTACGGGTGATAGAACCGATCACCTTTATTACCTGTCGTCCCGTTGGTCATTAAGTTGCTGGCCGAATGAGCCCCAGTGACGTCTCAATTCATCCCTGTAGCGAGCCCATCTGGTCAGTGGACCCTCATCTCTTGAGATCACGGCACAAACCATCCTTCTCGAACTTGGATTTCAAAGTTTTCGTGAAGAAGTTCGACCATAGGGCTGGCAGTCGACCTTGTGAACACTTGACGTTCTGAGGGGATCAATCAGTTACTGTCCTGGTCCAGCGGTTGTTACAAAAGCGCATGACGTATCTGGCCCACCTAATATTCCATTCCTTTGTGTATGCGGCAACGTCCTTTATCTTGGTTCGCTGACCCCGGACACCCTTCTGCCCTCGTTTGTATGTATAGGGAAACTTCAAGAATCTTGCGTAAAGTTCAAGTCCCTGCGCTAGTGCTGGGGAAGAAGGATTACAAAGTATTTGGAGTTAACGGTTGGAAAAGCTCAACATCACTTGCTTTTAGACGGCCGAAGATGGCAGTCAGAAAGAAATGATCGTTTCAATGAGATATATTCGTCAAATGAACGACATGACCAAACAGTTAGCCATGGAGGCTCTGGAAGTGGCCCGGCGCTCCAATAATGGCGATGTGTACGTGAAATATTTTTTCAAAAATGTACCAAATTCACTCCATTCATTAAAAGAAGAAGAAAATCTAGATCTATCAAGGAGAGAGTCCTCAGCATTTTTTTGAATTGAGGTCCCTATGGAACTGTCATCAGAGAGTCCTTATTGACAGGAACCTACTGTAGCAGTCCGTCCTTCCCATGATTTCTTTTTAGAGCAACCTTTCTCAATGTCACAGTCGCATTTTTCAAAGTTTTTCTGCAATGTTTTCTACGAATTTCTTGACATGGTGTCCAGATTTTTTATTGTAAATTATCTACCTTTTACCTTTTGCTATATTTCGCTTAGAAACCTACGATTTTTTCTGCTTAACTCCTTTTCTTCAATTTCTACGATTTCAATTGGAATAATTTCAGTCTTCGGCCTCTGATCATTGGCATAATCGACAGTGTCGAGAATATTACAACACGAATTGCCCGTCATCAATTGTGAAGCATCAGAATTCCCGTTGAATACTATGAAGAATTTGATTACTGACCATATTCGTTCCTGAGGATTTCCACTAAAGGAAACTTCGTCTCCTGCAAGCGTCGTTCCATTTTCTTTTTTTTTTTTTTTGCAGGCTATAGCATATTACATCTTCACTAAGGCCTCTAAGGCCGGTTATGAATCTGTAATGCCACAAAGTTCATTGTTTTAAACATTCTTGTACGAGTATTTATCAATAAATATAATTGGCCTGAAAGTTAATTTGTACAGTTCCGTTTTATTTACCCGCAAGACAAAGATGCAGAAAAGATATGCTTCTGATGATAGGAGTGTTTGAGGCTCAAAGAGGAAAAACATTGGATTTCCTGACCTCTGCTGTATCCGTGGCTCAATATTTTGGCGGAAGCATTGCTTTCCCAACGACCTAGACTGGAACCAAGGGGCCCGATAGAGCCATGACACTTTCTACTGAGATACCAATTTCTTTCATCTGTGGCAAAGAGGTTAAAAATCTGTTAATTGATAGATTCAATGGTACAAGTATTGCAAGTGACGTTGGGCAGAATTTGATGGCGTAAGGTCGAACACCTGCTGGAGACGGCACAGGCTCACTCAGATAGACCTCAAAAGGCGCCACCGTCCTGGTCAGTCGGCAAGATGGTTTCGCTGGATCAGATATGACTAACATGATCTCAGTTAGAGAAAGAATTTAGGAGTCAGAATTTAATGGGTACCAAGAAAAAATTCCACTTACACCCTCTCCCTCCCCCCCT